TAATCTTAGCAGAGTTGGAAGGGACCCTACGGACTTCGGGTCCAGCGCCTCTCAAGAGGAGGCTCGGGGGGGGGATCACACTCCTGACATCTGGTTCTGCGGCCAGATGCCTAAGCCACTGAGCTATCCAGTGGATTGCAGCTCACATCTTCGGTTGCATCATGCACCCGATATTGGCAACTACAGACTAATAAGAAGAATTCAACTATCTGTGTTTCTCAACCTTTTACCAATCTCTTCTGGGTGTGTAGTGCATGGCCGTAGACCTTAAATTTGCGTGCTTTTATTCATTTGTGTGCTTTTGTGACAGTGAGACACCGAAGCCTCACTCTGAAGCCCAAGGGGCCACTTTAATTTAGCCAAATCACTTGGCCTCAGAGATTTAGTAGCTTTTCCGTTCAGCTAATTTATAATGTGCCCTCTCACCCACCCCCTTGCCAGGTTTGCCCAGGACGGGAAGGCCCCATCTTCTTTGGGGATGAGCAGCACGGCTTTGTATTCAGCCATACTTTCTTCATCAAGGACAGCTTGGCCCGTGGTTTTCAGCGTTGGTACAGCATAATCACTATTATGATGGACCGCATCTACCTCATCAACTCGTGGCCTTTCCTCCTGGGGAAGATCAGAGGGATTATTGACGAGCTGCAGGGAAAAGCCCTAAAGGTGTGGGCATGCTGTGATTTAAGCAGAACTGGAAAAGTTACTTTTTGGGGGGCTAGAGTTGGCATTCTTGGGCCTGTTTCCTGTTGTTCATATGCAGCAATTCGTTTCCATTTTCCTTTGGCTGGGTCCCACATGATGCTGGTGACATTTGTAGGTTTGAACTCAAGACTACTGTACATTTTTTTGCTGAATAACTTGCATGACTGTCACCCTGCACTAAAGCATGACTATTGCTTACCCTGCATAAGCTAGCATTGCAACTCGGTCTGCTGCATTTACTAGCCCACAAGAACATTTGATAGTTTTTTTGAACTTGAAAGCAGCAGCTTCTAAGAGACCCTGGCAGATTGCTTAGGTGTGATGGTCTCTGTTTGAGAGGCTCCGAGACTTTCTGCCCTTCTTCTTCTTCCTGAGAGTAGCAGCTGTTACCTTCCTTTCCAGTGACTAAGTGAGAACAGGCTTTTGTCAAAGGAAGATGTCCTGACACTTCCCTTCTCAGCTTTCCTTTTATTGTGGCTTTTTCCTCCGGTCTTCGAAGCAGAGCAGTATGGATGCCCACAGCGCGCCCAACGGATGAACACGGCCTTCACACCTTTTCTGCACCAGCGGAATGGAAACGCGGCTCGTTCTCTCACCTCCTTGACCAACGACGAGAACCTTTGGGCATGTCTCCATACGTCCTTTGCTTGGTAATGCACTTTCTGTGTTTTGTAACTGGCACAACCCATTAATGGCCAAGAATATCTTAGTAGAACTGCCTGTTAATCCGTGGGTTGATTGATGTATTGAACAAAACAATTAAGGGCAGCCTCAGAGGAACATCTTAACATCTGTTTTATTTATATTTGTTCTCTATTACCTACAGAGGAAGGCTTTTGATATGTCCTGCTTTTTCCATAGTACTATATTTATTTATTTATTTGATTTATATCCCGCCCATCTGGTCTGGTCAGCCACTCTGGGCGGCTTCCAATAAGGTGTATACGATAAAACAACCTGCCTGGCTTCCTATGCAGGCATCTATTTAAACTATATGCTCGTCTTTAGTATTCTTATTCCAGATCCTCTTCTCAAATTATGAGGTGGGTGTTAGTAGGGGGAAGAGAGGCCCTTTTGGGAGCGATAACTTACTATGCAACAGAGAGGTTTGTCTGATGCCATATTTATGTTATTTCTGGGTGCCTGATGAAGGCCTGTTATTCACCCAGCCCTTTTAAAGTCTAGGCCTTTCAGTTTTTCAAAGTAATTGTTTTCGTTGTGTTTTCAATTTTTAATCTGTTTTTGTTGTTGTTGTTTAAATTTGTATTGCCAAGAGGGTCATGTGGAGTACTAGCAGGACCTATATAAAGTTTACCAGGTCAGTGGGGCTGGTCAGCCTTGGGAGGCAGCACATCTAGGAGAAGGAAAACTCTGACTCCAAACCTCCACTGCCTTGTGGCTATATCCACAGATGGAAAGGGCTTCAGGAGTCAACCTTGAGGCAAATTCCGGAGCCGGAGTCCCAGAGGTAGTTTGTGTCTGCTGGCAACTCCTGCGACGTCGCTGGGAAGGTGGAGGTAAGGGGCTAGTTTCTGCTTATTTTTGGATTTTTTTGTTTTTGTCTTTTTGTTTTGTTTTGTTTTGTTGCAGCCCCAGGGACTTGCAGTGTTTCATTTTAATTTTTTTGGTGATTTTTTTCCTTTGGCCAGAATGCATTTTACTGTACTGTATTCGTCTGCTTTTAAAGTTGGAAATGGTGTTCCAAAGGTTTCTTGGGCTGATGGAGGTCTAAAATGCAAAGGATTTTACAAGCAGTCCATAATAAAACAAATAATAAATGAATGGAAGAAAAAATAAAGAAAGAATTAAATATTGACAGGAGGGAAGGCCTGAACATACAATCATGTTTTTAGTTGACTCTTAAAAGTGCCCAGCGTAGGGGCTGCACAAATCACCGGAGGAAGGTTATTCCAGAAGCATGAAACAGAAACAAAATACACCCAATATTAAGCAAGTACAATCTCAACCATTGGCACTACCTGTAAAACTTGGACCCTGATAGTTTATGCAATTAAAGCATTTGTTAGTCGGTCTACCGACTTTAATCAATTAGGCTTTGAGCCCTTATATGGCCATAACAGTCTGTTACAGAGAGTGTCCAAACCCTGATGAAGTTTTGGCGTTCACGTGGAACATCAATCATCCAGGCTAGAGTTCGAAAGCCATTGATTATTTCATTGTCTGTTAAGGGAAGCAAGTCCTTTCCAATACTGATACTTTTGCTTAGTTAACTGCAAATGTTCTTCACTGAATTTTTTCATTTGAGGGTACGGCATCTCTTTTACATTTCCTCAGGCTTCTGAAGGCCTGTGGGAGCAGACTCACAGAGAAGCTACTGGAAGGAGCACCGACAGAGGACACTCTGGTTCAAATGGAGAAACTAGCAGGTAAGTTAGCGTGGGGAACCTTGTGTCTAGGAAGCAGTGCCGACCCTTGGGCAAAGTCAACAGAGAATTGGAGGCAACAATCTGAAGTCCAGTAGTAAGTTGCAACTAGGGTAGGCCCACTGAGTCATTGTGGGGACTGGGTGAGTCAGCTACTCTGTGAATTTCATTAATTCAGTGCACCTTCTCTAGTTGTGTCTTGTTACATGCCATCAAGTTGCCTCCAACTTCTGATGACCCTATAAACTATTGAGCTGTGTCTTACTCCTAGGTTTAAGCCAGTGAGTGGAGCCAGAGGAGAAGCTGGGTGGATTTTGCATTATCCTATAGATACCTAATATCCCATGTATCTTGAGGCAGAGGGCCAGATGCAACTGAAGCGTGGAACCATAACCTCATTCATTGAGGTCTTTTATCTCTTCTTTTCCTCCTAAGATCTTGAGGAAGAATCAGAAGGCTGGGATAACTCTGAGGAGGAGGGAGAGGGTAAATTCCCAAACCAAGCAGATGTTAGAGAAGGCCGCGAACTAGTCAAGAGCCCAACAGATTCCTCTCTCATGGTAGACTGTGGGAACTGGAATGTACAATCCAGAAATCAGTCTGTTTTCCGATCGCTTCGGCACTTGAGACAGGTAAGGCTGGGGTGATTACTTTGAGGCTATTTAACTTGACCGCATTGTTTGTTTATGATTCAGAATACCATTAGCACTGCTGTTTTTGGAAACAAACTGAAGAAGGAGGAGCTGCCATGAGATGGTTCGCCCGATCAGTGGTTCCCAGCCTTTGATCCTCCAGCTATTTTGGACTTGAAAGCCCAGAATCCCTGACCATTGACCATGCTTACTGGGGCGGATTTCAGTTCAATGATGTCAGGAGAGCCAGAGGTTGAAAGCCAGTGCATCAGAGAACTTGTGTCAGGCGGCCTTCTTTGGAAAACTTAAGCCAAACATGGAAGTGATAGCTTTTCCCATCCTAATGCTTTCAGGGTGGCTTTTATATATTTCTGTGTTAGCAGACATAGGAAACTCTTATGCAGAACTTCTCTAAGCAAAAAGGCCTTGCATTTCCAGAACTTTGGCAGTACATTTGGGAGCCCATTGCATGAAACTGGTTGAAATTGGCAGGAGAAGGCACTTAAAAAAGAAAAAGAAGAAGGATGATTTTCACATTGTTCTGTTCTTTCCCTTCAGGTTCTGGGTCCATCAGCTTTCCGTATGTTGGCATGGCATGTGCTCATGGGAAACCAGGTTATCTGGAAAGCAAGGGATGCAGACCTCGTCCAGTCTGCTTTTGATGTCCTTCGGGTAGGTACATCTGATTCCCTTATTATAACGTACAATTAATTGAGAGAGGTCTCTGGAGAGAGGTCATCAGAGCGAGGCTGGGGGCGGGCATAAGTCTTCTTTTTCAGTATGAGAACTGTCTTGGGTAGTCCTGCTGTTGAGTGAATCCTGTGCTTTCATCTGGATTCTCATTTATTGCTGTCTTTTTTCCTAACTAGACAATGCTGCCTGTGGGCTGTGTTCGAATCATTGCCTACAGTGACAAATACGAGGAGGCTTATCGGTGTAACTTTCTAGGTCTCAGCCCCCATGTGCAGATCCCATCTCACATACTGTCATCTGGTAAGACAACCTTTCTCTTACTTCTAATCCTTATACAGTCGTGCCCTGCTTAATGATTACCCCGCATTACGACGAATCTGCTTCATGATGATGTTTTTGTGATCGCAATTGCAATCGCAAAATGATGGTCTAAATGGGTTTTTTTTGCTTTGCGAAGATCGGTTCCCTGCTTCGGGAACTGATTCTTTGCATTACGACGATCAAAACAGCTGATCGTCGGGTTTTCAAAATGGCCACCGGGTGCTCAAAATAGCTCCCCGCTGTGCTTAGGGACGGATTCCTCACTGTACAGGCACTGAAAATGGCCGCCATATGGAGGATCTTTGCTGGACAGTGAGTTTTTAGCCCATTGGAACACATTAACTGGGTTTTAATGTGTTTCAATGTTTTTTTTTAATTTCGCTTTACAATGTTTTCGCTCTACAGCGATATCGCTGGAACGAATTAACGTCGTTAAGCGAGGCACCACTGTACTGTACCTACGTTAATACTGTACTTACACAATTTTCAGTGCTTTTTTTTTCAGAGTCTTGTTTTCAGAGGTTCTTGAAGGAGAGTTAAGTCTATAAGATAACCTCATTCTCAGTCTAGAAACTGCTGACCTCTTTTTGTCGCTTTATGATGTCTTTATTTCCTGAATTCTTTACTAATGTTGAACATTAATGAACTCTTTACTCATGCTGAACTGCTCTTGAAGGAGAGTTAAGTCTATAAGATAACCTCATTCTCAGTCTAGAAACTGCTGACCTCTTTTTGTCGCTTTATGATGTCTTTATTTCCTGAATTCTTTACTAATGTTGAACATTAATGAACTCTTTACTCATGCTGAACTGCATTTGACAAATTCTTTATCTCCGATTTTGCTTTCCCTTTTTCCCCCCCATCCATTGTTTTTCCAACAATATGCCTGTTGAAGTTAAGCAAAAACCTTCTTATCGAAAACTCTGTCCAGGACTTGGAATGCTCAAGTCCTGGGCGTCACTAAGCGAAATGACAGTTGTCAATGTGCAAACTCCGTTGCATAATGCTTGCTTTCTACACCAGGAGAAGGTCCTGATGTTTTATCTGTTTCCTTTCTCTTCTACCCTGGGAAACCCGGGTAATAATTTGAAGTAGCAGTAGAAATACATTGGTTTTTTTACAGCTTTCAATTACAGCTGAATAGAGCTAAGGGTAACTGATTACTACTGCCTAGCACTCACTTCAAACTCTGGAACAAAAGTGGTTGTAGCAGTGTGTCTTCCATGTGTATGTATTACATTTGTATCCTGCCCTTAAGAGTTTAAAGTACTGCGCATATGCACATCCATTTTATCTTTGGCACAATATTGTGGTACAAGCTTGAGAGATAGCTGTAGTCCACACATGCATTCAGTGAGCCATGTGGCCAAAGTGTGTGACAGGTGGAATTTGAACCTGCAGTTTTAATCTCAACACTGACTGCTCTTACCATCCTCTCACTGTGATGGACACACAAGAGTTGTTGTGTTTCAACTATGGAGGGGAAAATTGCCATTCAAGGGGAACATTGCAGTGAGCCACTGTTTCTGAAAATGTGGAATAACAATATGGACTCCCCTTGGTTGTAGAATTTGCTGTTCTTGTGGAGGTCCGTGCTGCTACGCGGTCAAGCCTCTACCCTGTCTTATTTGACGACGAGCAGGCTCTCAGCAAATACGAATTTGTGGTCACCAGTGGGAGCCCTGTGGCTGCAGACAGAGGTAAGCCATGTGACCCATCAAACTGGGCCCATTTATGGTTTGGTAGGTAAGCAAAAAATCCAAAATACCGTCAAAGTACACGTTGTGATACATGGGAGATGTTCCTACCATGTTGCTTTTTTTCAGGACCCATCCGGAGTCTTATAGATATTTGGTAAAAGAGGCCTGTTTACAGAAGAATCTTCTTTTTTTCATTCGAATCTGTTCTGTTTTCCCAACTAGTGACATTCTTCATTAAAACCATTACGTCATCTGCCATGTGCATACCTGATTTAGATTAAGCTGTCTTGCGCAACGCTTTGCCTAGTTCTAGTGTTGCTATTCGCATGGAGAAGGAGTTCTGAAGCCTCAAAAGTCCCTCTCTTGGACCTCGAGGCATCTTTTTAAGCAGCCGTATAGGATGTCTGGAATGTTAATGGGCATTTACATGTTTATAGTTATAAAAGACGAGCAACTTTCTTATTAAAGACAAGGAAAGTTAAAGGTGAAGGGCCGTTGAAAGCTCAAGTCTGTAACATGGCTACTCCTTTTCTGTACTCCCATGCAGTTTTGGATTTTTAGCTTTGATGTAATTGGAGATCCGGGATTGGGTTAGTTCTGTTTCTTGATAACAGGCCCAAGACAAGAACCGTATTTTGTTATGTGCAACACAGAGACCTAATGGGCTATATAAAGACATTTTATAAGTACCACATTGCAAGCTCATCAAATGCTAGTGGCACAAATGCTGGAGCGTGTGATCGCTGTGCCTTCTGTTTCTCTCTGTGCAGCTGGACCCACCATCCTGAACAAGATCGAAGCTGCCCTCTCAAACCAGAACCTTTCTGTAGAGGTGGTGGACCAATGCCTTGTCTGCCTCAAAGAGGAGTGGATGAAGTAAGTGGCTTGATAACTTCGGTTGTATAAAGCGTGAAAAAAAATCAGACTCAGGCCCCGCACAGCCCCAGTGCCTTGAAGAATTTGATCTGCAAAACAATAACAGGGAGGACAGGCTGCACTGTACAGTTTTTTTCCTACTGCACAAGGCTAGGCCACCTTCCACTGATTCAGAGCTGAGCAACGTCCCAGCGCCTGCGCCGTCGCCACCTGTGTGGGTTGTTTGCATATATTGCTTTTTTTCTTACAGTGGTGCCTCGCTTAACGACATTAATTCATTCCATTTGCTGTAGAGCAAAAACGTCATAAAGTGAAAATAAAAAAAAACCATTGAAAACCCGGTTAATGGGCTAAAAACTCACTGTCCAGCGAAGATCCTCCATATGGTGGCCATTTTCGGTGCCTGTCTAGAGAGGAAGCAGTCCCTAAGCACAGCGGGGAGCCATTTTGAGCACCCGGCAGCCATTTTGAAAACTTGACAATCAGCTGTTTTGATTGTCGTTATGCGAAGAATTGTTTTCCGAAGCAAGGAACTGATCTTCGCAAAGCGAAAAAACCCCATTTAAAACATCGTCTTGCGATTGCAATTGCGATTGCAAAAACATCGTCGTGAAGCAGATTCGTCGTAATGCAGGGTAATCGTTAAGCAGGGCACGACTGTATGGGCTTTGCCATACCTGGCATATTGGCCTTCTTTGAAGGAAAAAGCTGTTTAGGTAACTTGTCATCTCTGTATTTTTGTCTGCTATAGTAAAGTGAAAGTCCTCTTCAAATTCACCAAAGTGGACAGCAGGCCCAAAGAGGACACCCAGAAGTTGCTGAGCATTTTGGGCGCCGCCGAAGAGGACAACGTGAAGCTCTTGAAATTCTGGATGACAGGCCTGAGCAAAACCTACAAGTCACATCTGATGTCAACGGTTCGGAGCCCGACTTCTTCGGAGTCTCGAAACTAGCCTGGAAATCCTTTGGCCCCTCTTGGATAATTTCTTGACATTTGCATCTGTGAACTTCACATGGAACGGAGCAGCACGGACATTCTGCTAGTCCAGTTTTAATGAAAAATGAGTGGGACCGAGATGACAAGAGGAAAAGGACTCCTCTTGGGTTTGTTGTTATCTGCATGGAAGGCTTAGCTTTTCTCCATTATTGCACTGGTTTTTATCTGGTTGGGGACCCGTCATCTTCCTGCTGATGATCATTAGGAAATCCACATCTATTGATTTACCGCCACTAACCGGCTTTTTTTTTTATCTGTTGTTTTACAGAGTACTTTTTAAGGAAGCCTCAAGGCATAACAGATATTGCCAATCTTTTCTCCTTTGATACCCATGTACGACCATAATACACCTGTGTTGAGGGCATACCTTGTTTAGTACCTGATCGAACATGTTGCAAGAATTTGTCTCCGAATTACGCTGTGGCTGGATTAACATTTTAAAATATATCTACCTAGACAAGTATATGAATGTACTTGTCTCCTGTGGGAGAAGATTTCTTTAAGGAAAAATACCTTTCCCTGTTGTCGATTTCAGTATATTTATAGAGAATATTTATGATTCAGCTTGCAAAGCAGTAAAGGAATTTTCTTCTCCTTTTGCATACAGTATTTTTAGTGTTTTGGATAAAAATTACGGTTTGGCCATTCAGTAAAATACTATTGGTTGTCTAGTAATAACACCTCTTATTTTAAGCAATGCCACTCTCAGGATGATACATTGAAATAACTACATTTTTCAAAGGATTGTACTAATAGAAAAATATTGGACTTCTCTGTGACAAGGATTTCTTAAATATGCAAAATACTCAGCAGTGGATTTTTCAGTCTGTATTGCAAATTTAAGGGAAAAGACCAAGGTTATATTTGTCAAAGGAAAACGAATAAACTCTGACTTAGTTTCATTGAAATGAATACTGTAATTTATTGTAATAGAACATTAAAAAAAATTAGAGGCAAGTGTGGATAGTATGTATGATCAGCTTTTCCGGAAAGAAGTGATGGCTTTATTGCTTGTCTGGTATAAGTGAAATGTTTAAGTTTGGACGTGGGGCACAAAGAAAGAAAAATGAGAAAACAGCGCTGAGGTAAAAAAGAGAAGGCAATTTGGCGGTTGAGAAATTCCTGCCACGGGGGGGGAGGGTAGGTGGGAAAAAAAGCGGGCTGCGCATGCGCCTTAGCGCTCCTCGGCTTTGTGTGAAACCGGCAAAACGCGCCTGGCGGGAAGCGGGGTGGCTCGGCTTTGCTACGGCGCATGCGTTGTGGCGGGGAAAAAAAGCGGGAAACGCAGCGGGCGGGTGTGTTTTGAGGCCAGGCAGCCGCGCGCTGAGGGGAAAAAGCGGCGGCGCTGTTGCGGGAGGGCGCATGCGCCGTGAGCAAGGCGGCAAGCGACGAGAGGCGTGAGGTGGCCGTGTCGTCGTCGGCAGCATGTGGGGCTTCGGAGGGCAGTTTTGGATAGGGATGGGGCTGGGCGTGGTCCTTGACGCGGCGGTCGCTTGGCTCCTGAGGCGCCTCGAAGCCGCCCCGGTCCGCGAGGCGCTTTTCTTCCCGTCGCGGGTGACGTGCATCGCGGAGCTGCTCGCCGAGGAGTCGGCGTCGGGGGCCGCCGCCGAGGCGCGTCCCCGAGGAGGCCCGTGCGGGTGCCCGCTGCCCCACGGCGAGAGCCCCTTCCGCCGCTTCCTGGCCTGTCTCCTGTCGGCCCGGCGCTCCCTCGACCTGTGCCTCTTCGCCTTCTCCAACCCGCACCTCAGCCGGGCCGTCCTCCTCCTGCACCGCCGCGGCGTCCGCGTCCGGGTGGTGACCGACTCCGACTACATGGCCCTCGTCGGCTCCCAGATCGGGCTTCTCCGGCGATCCGGTAAGAGGCCACACACACACCCCTGAGGGAGGGGGGGTGCTTCGAGGGAAAAGGGGGCGGTTAGGCGCCGGCGGTGCCCCCACGAAGGCCTGACAGGGGGCTGTTAACGGGGCGCCTAATGGCCCAGGGTTCGTGGCCAGCCTATCTTATTAATTAGTCTTCCTTCTTATTGCTGCTACTACTTGTTTATAGGGCGCCTTTTCTTCCAGTAAAGGGACCCAAGGCGGCTCACAAAGGTGCCTTTAAATTATATTGGTTCATGTTTATATTTGCTCGTTATATATGTTCTAATGCAGTGTTTCCCAAGGGAAAGACAGTGTTTTCGAAGGGTTTCGAGGCTGGCCTTATTGTTTTAGCCCTTGTTAAATAGTCACTTTCCTTGGCTTTTTGGAGCGGGATATTAAAGTTAGGGTGCATGTTTGCGAAACAGGCCCTTTGGGGGAAGTAAGAAGCCCCTCCTTTCTGAGAAGGGGGTGACTTTACCCCCTTAAAAGTGCTTTTTTGTGTGCAGACATTTGGGGGGGGGTTCAGGTTGCTCTGCTCTTAAAAAAGCAATGACTAAAAAAGATTGGATAGGATTGCTCTCTAGTCTAGGTAAAGTAATTTTGAATACTTTGTACTTAGAAAGTCCTGGAAAAGACAAGTTGAAATTGGCTTGACAAGTATGCAAGCATTGCAGGTTAAGTTTAGAGAATTTTTTTTTAATACAAATACTTTTTATGGAAACATGATGGGGACTATTGCAGGTTACTTGGCTATTATAAAAGGGGGTTATGACTTGAAAAAGGTTCTGATGAGTGCTGGTGATGCAGCAGCTTTGTTAAGGGGCGGTTTCGGCCGTATGGGTCACATAGCATCCAAGGGAGACCTCCCCCCCCCTTCTGTCTTTATTAGCTAGTTGTGCTTTGTTTGGGGTTGCTTCATAACTTTTTTCCCACTTTGCCTAAGTGGGGATGAGCAAAGCCGGCTGGGTCAGAGCTTTGAGGACTTGATTGGATGAGAACAAAGCATGGCCAATTTTGCTTTTCCTTCCCTTTTTTCACACACACCCCAAGATGAGGTGAGGGCGGAATGAAGCACCCCCAACTGTCCGTTCAATGGATTTAAATGGGGAAAACAAAAAATCACCAAAAATTAACGAAGACTCAGAACAAAGCCAGATTAAGTTTGAAAATGTTTCACAAGGTGCACTACCGATTCCAAGCATTTAAAACAGGTTTCAATGAGCGAAAACGGACATCGTTAAGTGAAAAGCCCCCATAGAGAACATCGTTAAACGATGCGGAAAATTCCTCCAAGAAACACATCGTTAAGTGAATTCTTCGTTAAACGAAGCAACCGCTAAGCGAGGCACCACTGTACTTCGCTTGCCTTGAAAATCCTGTTAGGGGCACTGTAAGTTGGTTCCAACTTGAAGGCATATAACAGTGAGTTATGCTTGCACCATTGCTTTAGGAATTGGGATCAGTGGAATCCATGATCTAAATCAGGCTTTTTGCTTTGTTCATTTAAATCAGTGATGTACATTGCCTTGATTGAGATGAGTCTATCGTGCCGCAGTGCCTGTATATTCATACATGTAACACACATATGAATTTTCGTTGTATGTGTATATACTTACAATGACAATAAATTATTATTATTATTATATGTTCTCACCCTTAACAGAAGATCTAGTGAGGATGGAAAATGGGGTGGGATGTAATCTATCCCTTGTCAGCTAGTTTCCAGAAAAACTATGCACTCTGTATTGAGTGTAAAGTTGGGTTCAGTTCATACGTTATTTTAGAGATAGCAGGCTGGCTGGATAGCTCAGTGGTTTAGGTGTCTGGCTGTGGAGCCAAAGGTTGTGTTCTCACCCTTAACAGAAGATCTTGTGAGGATGGAAAATGGGGTGGGATGTAATCTATCCCTTGTCAGCTAGTTTCCAGAAAAACTATGCACTCTGTATTGAGTGTAAAGTTGGGTTCAGTTCATACGTTATTTTAGAGATAGCAGGCTGGCTGGATAGCTCAGTGGTTTAGGTGTCTGGCTGTGGAGCCAAAGGTTGGGATTTCAACTCCTGCAAACAGAGCCAACCTGTGTAGCTCTGGGTAAGCTGAATAGTTTCGGGATGCCTCCTCCCCCAAAAAGAAAAGAATTGTAAACCATTTCTATTTTCTACCTGGTAGCTCCTGAAAAGCGTCACCATAAGCTAGAATTAACCAGATGGCACACAATTATTATTAATTGCAGTGCTTGGGTTTGAATATTATCTAGTGTTTGTTTCAAGCTTAAACCAATTTCTGTGGCTCAAATAAAGTCCATTTTGCATAGGAAGGCCTGTGTAACCCGATTTGGAGAAAATTTGTTTCGTCTTTTCATGAGTTTCTAGAAGTTTAGTGGCTATACTTTCTTAGATGAGAGCCTGTGTGAAGTCGTGGGTAATGTGCAGTACTAGGATGGCTTCAGATCTCTGCTCAGTCATGGAAACTAATGGAGGGTAGGCCATAGTAAACATCTACTTGAACATTTTACATAATTTGCCAACCCTAGTAGGATCACTAGCAGTCAGAAGTGAGTTGATTACATGTAACAGCAACAATTCCTTGTTTAGCTTTCATTAGAAATAACTGGTTTCTTTTTGTATGATTGAGAAACAAATTTTATGGGAAGACAGAATCAAAAGTATGGACTGAATGTGCTCTTCTAATTTTGCAGGAATTCAGGTGCGTCATGATCAGGAGCTTGGCTATATGCACCACAAGTTTGCTATAATTGACAAAAAGATGCTGATCACTGGCTCTTTGAACTGGACCACTCAAGCAATCCACAGTAACAGAGAGCATGTGCTGATTGTGGAGGACAAAGATTTAGTGAATAATTTCCTTGAAGAATTTGAAAAGATTTGGGAAGACTACAATCCAGCCAATTACACATTTTTCCAAAAAGAAGGAAAGGAGGTACTGAAAAATAAAACTAAAGCTTAACAAATGTCACAAGGTTTCATCTAACGATTGTACCACTGTACTTATTTGAGCAATGATTTTAAAGGTTACTAAGCAGAAAAATAAATATAGTGAACAATTAGTATATTATTGTTCCAGAATAAGATTCCCCCGATAAATGGAATATTAAAACATATGCTTTATTTGCTGAAGAACAGGTTAAAATGCATAATTAATACATAAATGTGACTTGTCCTGGCAAAGAGTGGCAAACATAAGAACTTCTTTGTCCTTTTCCTTCTAATGGATTAATGGATACAGAAACAAACTACATGACATTCACATTAGGTTAGGAATACATGTTGCAACCAAGGGTAAGATTTTAGGATAAACAATTATTTTATAAGCTGAATCAGTTTCAGGAGTGAGTGGTTGAAGAAGTGTATAAAATAAGTTGGCCTTGATACCTACTCTGAAGTATTATCATACTTCAAGGAGAGATGATTTCTGATAAAACATAGCATTAGGCAAGCTTAAGCTTATTTACTTTAATAGCTCAAGTGCATGTTAGATTGTGACCTAAATACTTGTATACTTCTGCATTTCCATTCTAATTTGCCTTCAGACTTGAGAAAGTAACATCCAGCTCCTTTTTGCCTAGTAACAAGCTTCTACAGAAACTGTAGAGCTTCCCATTAGCCATTCTACTAATTGTGAGAATGGAATATTATGATGAAAAGAAAAATTACAGGTTATTTCTAAAGTTTCTCTGTTATGAAGTATCTTTATGCTCAGCTGCCTAGAAAAGAGGCGGAAACAGCAATGGGGATAGTACTTTTCCTCTTGCCTTACATCTTCTATTTAAATTGTTTTGTTGCCTGCAGATGCTTTAGAATAGAATTCCTGTTGCATTGCAGAAATTAAAAACCAACAAAGTGTGGATTCTAAGGTTTTTACTTCAGACTTGAAATTTTGCTTCCTTAACTACTAAAGCTGTGATTTCAGAAAGTGTAGTGTCACAATATTTTGGGACAGTAGACATTTCACTGTATCTAGGACATGGCTAGTTGTCCTTGGCTTTAACGTACACTTTTTTGTGTATGCCTGTAAAGTTATTAGATTTTTAGGAAGGAAGATATTGGATTAGTATCCAGCTACTAGCAGATTCTTGTTTTCTTCTTGTTTCATCATACACCTGTTGAAAAAAGCTATTTTATTTAACATTTTTTCATGTTCAGCAGCAAGTTCCAGTCTTTGTTATGCTGATAGTAGCAATGTTAGTAATAATTTATTTTTCTCATTCGTCATCATATCTGAGTTCTCAGCCATCCTTGTAGCTGATGAGCATGTATTGATCTGTGCTAATGCAGATACTTCTGTTGCTGAGTTAAGTTCACAGCTTTCAACTCATGTTTGTAAAATACAAGTGCCTTTAAAGTTTTGGTACTTCAGTTGAAAGGTACACACAGGATAATTGCCATAATCTTCTCGAGATGCCCAAAGGAACAAATCTTATGAAACTCATTAAGTTATTATCATTTCAATAATTCTTTTTGTTTCATCATCTTATGAAACTCATTAAGTTATCATTTCAATAATTCTTTTTGTTTCATTTTCATCTTTATACACCTGAGGTATGAGAAAGGTAGAAACTATGTAATTACAGCCTGTGTGTGCTACATAGAGTTATTAATGAACACAGCATTATGGATTAGAGCCTTCCATTTTGTTAATAGTATATATTGTTCCCAAATATTTTACTTGCTGTTTCTAGGTCAAGGAGGTGGCTAGACTCTGCCTGTGACCTAAAAGAGTCAACAAAAACTTTCTCCGCAGCATGTCAAGCGTGGTGCAAAAATAGTTTATTATGATATAGTTTTATGTATAGTTAGGAAATTATATTTACAAAATAATCATCAGCTACATCCATGGGAACCCTAACATGTCACACAATGTTTGTAAGGAATAAATATTGTGACATAAGTGATATTTTTATTACATTGAACAACTGAAGAAGGAAATAGCTTTTTTTCAAAGCATGAATATTAAACATGAGAATGTAATCTTTCAGATTCAATAGAAAGCATCTAAGTACTGTACATTCTTTGTGAAAAGAGGGGCAGGCTGAACACATTACTCAGTAGGTATTTTTGCAGGAACCTCTATTCAGTTCTCCAGTGAATTAGTTTTAGTTGAAACTTGCCTCCTTTGAATGTGCCACTGACTGAAACCCTCTTGCTTAGCACAGGAAGGTGCAACTAGAGAAGGCCTGCTGAATCAGTGGGAATCTGATGAGTCAACTCTTCTGTAAATTCGACTGGTTCAGTGCACCTATAAGTATGACTTTCTATATTAAGCAACAGGATTTCAGCCACTGCCTCAGTGATAAGCACCACAATTGCCCCCTAGTGAACACTTGCATGACCATGTTCTAAATGTTGCAGAGCTGCAGAAGTTGCATTATCTTCATGCTTAATTCTTGGTTATGCTTCTGTATGATGCAGTCATTTGTGATCAGTTTGGAGAGTTTGTTCATGTAGGTCTGCTTATGAGGGAGGCAGGCTTACAGTTGAAGTTGAGACAATCCTCAGTATTTTCTGTGACGAGGCTGGTGATGAGTGTGCACAACTACAAGCTCATATTATGAATGTACAGCGGTTGTTCACCCTCTTAGCCACATATAGGTTTCATCCAAATGCACAATCGTTGCTTTAAAAGTAGATTCAAATTAGTGCTGTACTGGAAGAACGAGATTGCAATCCTGAGCTAGTCATCTCTGACCATATTCGTTAATTCCCTTGGCGCTAGATGGTATTCTGCTGTGAATGCACCCTCTCCCCCCCACTTCTGTTTCATTTGCTCTCTAGTGGATTTCATGGCATGCCTTTCAGAGTGTTGAACATAACTGTCAAACTCAAAATACTTGTTTATGTGCCTCATAACCACTTTCGAAATTGTGCAGTCTATAACGGATTCCCGTATTTTCTGAGAAAATGTTCAGATTCTACTGGTAAAGATGACCTCAGCACTTCAACCTCATTGAAACTACATTGTAATAAAATACAGTATAATTGTAAATGGGCAGCCATTCTAGAGTTGACTGTACTTCTGCCATGCTATTGCAACATGTCACACAACATGAAAGTGACATGTAGATTTCACAAATCAAATCTACTTTGTTCTTTTATAGAAATCCTTTATTCTGCAAGTGTTAAGTTACCATGCAAGAATACTGTTGTATTTTTAGTGATAGTTGCTACCACCATCTTACTAGATATCTGCACACCCAAGAGTTGTTTATGCCACTGTTAGTTATATTGTTATTAAACTGAATAGGGAAGAAATTCAGTGTATAGTTAAGTAGGCTTAACGTGTTGAAATACTGTACGTGTTCTTTGGACATTGCGGAAACTAAAAATGTATCAGAGAAGTTTAAAAATATATTTGTAACATTCAAACAAACCAATAAACATTCTGTATGGGAACACAGAGCAGGTTTATCAGGTTACACTAATTTCATTTTCCAAGTCAAAAGGACATTTGTATTAGAACAAGATTAAAAAAAACTCACCCCAAAAAACCCTCCACTAGTTTTTGAGTAATAAATATTTACATTGCGTGCTTTGAATACTATACAGGTTTTTAAATTATTTTTAAAGAGAATAACAAAGCTTTTTTTAAAAAATGGGAAAAATTACAAAGGAAAGATAAGCTACACTGAGCGTGCATGTGCTTAAAGTGTTCACAACAAAGTACTGCGTATGAACCACCAAAATGCAAAAAGTCCAGTGGGATTCTAGTCAAGTATGTTGTCATTACAAAAAGCAACACTTTTTAAAAACAACACATAGGGCTACTTGCAGGCAGCCTCTGCCACAAGAAAAACAGCCTGCTTGGATTTTGCAGATCAGCTCAAGCAATCCTCCTTTTCCATTTGTTTACATGATAAAGGAAAACAAAGTTGCATTAACAGAGAGGACTTAATTATGTTTCAGAAAAAGAAGGGAAGACAAAAAAAAGGATCTGCAACATACAAGATTTAGGAACGCATTATGCAGGTGTATTTATAATTATACATCCATCTATTTTGAACTTAGACCAAACATTTTGGTTATTTTCGTAGCGTACGTTTGTGTAAAATGCAGCAGGTTGCAACAGAATATACCTATTTGTTCAAACATATATATATAGTGTCCTTTAAGAGCCATTCACAAAACAAAGTTCTCAGTATCATGTTGCTTTGCAGTATACAGAGAGCACCTTGGTCACAATAGTGCAGTCTTGCACAAAATAGATTGTTTTACTGTTTTTAACACCAGTTTCAGGGTTTGAAAACCACTGGCTTAAAAGAGGTGACATTTCTGTTTTTGAAGATGTATGAATCAAGTATGTAAATCTATCTAAAATGGGTTTTCAAGACATAATTTGTTCTTCTGGCAGGATTCACTCAAGTTGCAGGTACAAAATATTGAAAAACAAGTTTCTTCTGTGTTAGAAGCCTTGTCAGTGCTAAAGGAAAAACATGACTGCATTTTAAGGGGCAGTTGGCATGCTCCTTTACACCAGTAGCTAAGACATGCTGGTTACCCTAATGTTCACTAACTTATCTGCAATTTAAGGGGACAGAAAAACTGCAAAAAAAAAAAAAAGTGAAACTGCCAGAAACATAGCAAGAAAGCACAAAATGTAGTTTTGCTATCGTGATCGCAAGGGTCCTGGACCTCAGGAACTCCTGAATATTGCACAGCAAAGAAATTTTGATGAGCTGTTTTAGCCATTCATGGTAGCAAAGGCTCATGAAATAGTAACATCGTGGCCCATTTAAATATGGCTAGCAGCAAGAAGAAAATTACCCAGACTCAGTTACCCTAAAATACCTCATATGTATGTCTGCTTTTAGGAAGTTTAACTATCCAATTAAGCATTAAGAACAGAATGGAGATTGAAGTGAAATGAGTTGATCTTGGCTAGCTGATAATTGTAAAACCTCTTTATAGATATATGTCTGTCCAAAAAAACCTCTCAAAACATGTAGGATGGGTAGTGTGCAAAGCAGAAATCCAGATAACCTGATACTGCACAGAATTAGTAGAGAATGCAGATAAAATTTCTTAAGGTTCAAAAACTTGCCCTTAAGGCTTGCAAAATTATCTTGTCAATACTGAAGCCACGATTAGTTTAAAAGAGCAAGTCTCACCTGCTTTTCAGTGCCTTTGTATGTACACTGTCTTGCTCGAGAAGGGCCTGATGGTCCAGAAATCCAATACTCTACAGATATATTCAATGTTCATGTCACTGCGCCCAGTATGAAAAAATTATTCCATATAGACTCATATGATTTTGTTTCATGTAAATGATGGGCGCAAGTACTAACAGACATTTCTCTAACTTCAAACCTGCTGTTTCTCAGATATCACCTTTTAATAGGGTTATCTTGTCACCTGTCATCCCTCTGCTATTTAAACTTCTTCCTCTCTCTACTGCCATCATGCAACTGACTTTTCAACATACAAATACTACCAGCATGCATGGACAGACAAGAATGCTTTCCTAAAATTATTTTTAGATCTGTTAAGCAAAATCTAAGGACAAGCTGCCATTTCTTTCTCTACTTCTGCTAGACAGCCTGACTTGAACTCAGCCCTACCAGCTTTGCAAGAAGCCCTGCTCCTTTGCAGTACCATTCCACCAGCTACTTAGCAGAAGCTGGCATGAACATATGCTAGACAACAAATTAAGAAGCAGAAGTGATTTCTTCTTCAGAGGCCATCTTTAAGAAGGAAAATAATCCCTGAACTTCTGGACAAATTCTAGATTCACAGGTGGAAGAAAATTCTGGGCCACCTGTACTATATACACAGCTTCATGGAGCCCAATGAAGTTGGAAAAGAGGGTGTGGCTTTGGTATAGCCTTACTCAGAAACATAGCTGGATATTGACAGTGACTACTGGTGATCTCAAAGTATACCTGTCTAACAACTGAACAGTTTATATTTCACGGAGTTCACATCTCGGTGTAATAATCTGTCTATAAGCCAAATTAGTAAAGCTTTCTTTCCAGAAACATTGTAAAGGAACTGGGGACAGAAATCTCATACCACATAGTGGAACTATGCAAGATACAAATCAGGCTTGTCTTTTCCCTACAACAGGAAGCCAGTGTTTGTGTTGCTGCTGAAACCATCAATCCTGCCTGAGGAAACTTGCTGTGCCAAAATCATATTTGTGTGTTTTGTCTCAGAGGTGCAAAATTTGGGTCAACGCATGCACCCAAGTGCTGGGTTTCTCTTCGAAGTGGCAGAGTTACTCCCCTCCAAGGGCTCTGTTGCTATACCAATGCATTCAGTAAAACAGAGCTAGCTTATTGATAGGCTGCAGAGCCTTAATACTGACACTTAGTGTAATGGATATACAGTAGGAAAGACTTTGTATAGAGAGTCAAAAAGGGACATGTGCCCAATATCCCCTTGTCCTTGTCAAACTACTCAGGGCAAAGAGTCAGGGAATCCGTTTGATGGTGGGCAGCAGAAATGCCAGGTTTTCCAGTCTTTTCTGCTGAAACATCCGTATAAAACAATAACAGCAATGATAATCCTAAAGAACAAAAAATGAGGGAACTTGTGATCTGATTCTGCAAGCAAGGAGGCGCATGTGGTCAAGCCAAATAGGAAGGAGAGAACTAGTCTTTCTTCATGTCCTTGGCTTCAAAGAGCTTGAGGCGCTCCTGCACCGTCAGGCCTTCCTTCAGACTCTGCACAGGGTAGGGGTGAAAAGGAGGAAAGAAAAGCAAGCCATGAAAATGACATTTTGGAAAAAAAGGACAACATCCAAATCAGAGGGATGACATGTATTCTCAGGCAAAGAAAAGGCAAGTGACGGCATCCTAAATAAGATTAGAAGAACATGCTTAAGAAAATGCACCATTATGAGGTAATGTTATTAGTGAATCAGCCCAAGATGGATAAAGACTGCAGGTGAACTGGATGGCCACAGGCACAGCTGACTTGACTGGTAGAACAGTTGTCTGGATTCTGATGCAGCTACAATACTATTCCATTATCCTGTTCTGTTGTAATTCTAGGGTTGCATAGGCTGTAACACAGTTACAGCTGAGGGATTCATTCAACAAACAGTATGCTGATACAACTGTTAACCTCAGCAAGGGAGAAATTGCTATGAAGTTGTTTTTATGATACTGAAGTCTGCAAAGACAAAGCTGAAAGCAGTCTTGATAAACAACATTTCTATATCTTATGTGGGGATCTGATATAGTCTGGTTAACCAGAAGAGCATATGACTTTCAAGTTAAATGTTTCCTAGCCATTAGGAACACATTTAAGGCACTTACAATTTCAACAGAAAACTATCCTGAAATGTTCTGGCTCCCTCTAACATTTGTCTATTCCTGGAAGGTTCTAGTAGTTTCATGTTATGCTATCTGGGAATAGCTCAAGTAAAATCTCTGGGGTTTAAACCCAAGATTCTATAGGTGATTGGTTACATATAGCAGGTTCCAGCCTCTCAACCATACAATTTATCCTTTTTCTTTTCATGATTTGGAAAGATATGTATGAAAACCTCACACCCTGGCTATTTTACATTAGAACATAGCTCTTACAAAGAAACCTAGTAACAAAGCCAGTGAGACCAAAATACAGTGTTTGTGCCCATCTATCTCTTATCAAGGATGCAAATGGACACTGGCACAAGTACACAGGCAAATACAGACCAAAGAAATGGAGAAGGAGCCACAGGGTAAGGCTAGATGACAAAAGACTTGACTTTGTATGGTCTCTCCCCTTCCTGAGAGGCAAAAGGAGTTAACACATTTTCACCTCAATTTTGCAAACTGAGTGTTGACTAAATGCAGTGCTAATTGAGTGAGAGATGTGCAAAGCTTTCTCCTGTGTTAGGCGGTCACAGGCTTTTCCCTGGGTTATAATTAGTTCCTAGCAGTACCAAAGGTTTTATGGGGTAGATGAAAAACAAAACAATTACCTAACTGGCCTGTCTATGATATAGAATTTTTGCTATGCTAAACAGCATGGGTCTAAAGGATGTCTTGACTGGTGATAATTCACAGTTGGTTAATTTTTGAAAAATAAAGACTTAATTCAGGGTGAAATTGTGTTTTGATAAGGGCCTCTTACTGTGACCCTAATAGAGTTTTCAAGATAAATGAGATAAGGAGTGGTTTTACCAGTTCTGCTCCCCCAGTGAGTTTCCATGGCCAAGTGGGGATTCAAACGCTGCCCTCCAGAATCTCAGTCCATCACTCTATCCATTAAGCCACACTGGGAATCCCCCATGTGCAGCATATCTAAGTCTCCTGTATTTTCCTACTCTTGTGAATAATGCAGCTGGCTTCAAAGGTAACCTCTGACTACTGTGATGAGCAACAAATTTGGTGAGATTCATCTGATCTTGACTACAAAGCCAACCAATCAAATGCTATAATTCTGTTTGTAAGCTTTGCCTGATGTGAAGCATTAAGTCTGGGGCATGCACATTCATCCAACATGCACACTTTGTTTCATGCCCTCAGTACAACACCCCTTTGTGCATCACAGAAGGTGCAGAAATTCTCCAGCAATGGATATCAGTTAGGGTGAGGTAAGGCAGAAGGATGGGTGAGCCATAGATGCAGCCATTCATCTTGTGTGATAAGGTTTTAAATTCTGACTTGCTCTTCTCACCCAACCCCTATGTAATGCTCAAAGGAGGAGAGATTCTCATTAGCCATGGACGTGTGAGCAGAACATGCATGAGGTGGATTGCCCCTCAGAGAAGGAGGAGGGCTTGGTAGATGTTTGTTACCTATATCACTGGAATCTGATGCATTTCAGTTATCCCATGAGACCTGCTCAATAACGGACTGTTATTGGAAGCAAAGACAGACAAAAACAAGAAACATGAATTCTAATTGCTTTGGAGGCTCCACAGTCCCAAAGAATTTCCCTCCCATTCCGGTAAGAATAAGGCAGTTTGGTACTTAGGGTCAAAGACAGAGACACACGGACCCCGAGTGCAAGACTGCACATGTTTGCTTCCTTACTCAGTTCATAAAGGCACAAGAGTAAACAACGATACAAATTGGCCGTAAGAGCAGCTATAACTGGCACTCCCTGTACAGAAAAGGAAGTAACGCACACAAAAACAGGTGAGACACAAAAAACAAATGTGAGTTGAATCTGCATGTAACTCTTTATTATTATTATTATTATTATTTGGTCAAGTTCATGAACACTTGTGTTGCCCTGTGTTGTACAGGATCACAGCTTACTTGGCAGTAGCAGACCAGCTCAGAGAAACGTGCCCAGTTTGGAGCCAAACTAGACATTTGCTTGAAATGATACATAACTGGGGCAGTGCAGGATTTTAGTCTCCAACTGGAAAGGGAGACAGAACTTCCTTCCCTGATTGGTTCATTTCTCACATTGATACCTGTACTTCCTGTTTGCTTTTAATTAGGCAAGGGAAACTTACTGTGTAGTTGTATGTTACATAGAGAGTCTAGTTTCCCCCCTCAGAAGCACTACAAACGGGTTATGTGCTGTCAATTTTTCCAATTTACCAGCACAGCAGACCCAAAATGAAGCTCCCATGGCAAACTCATAGCGGCATTTCAAAGCACACTGCAAAGCAGGAAGATTTTTGCAACAGCAACAACGCTCATGTGTAGTTCGAACCCAGAGATGTCAAGTGGAAGACTGGGCAAGTGGAATGTTGATAACTCAATTTAGATAGAACACAGCAAACCAACTCTAGCAGAAATAAAAGGAGTCTTGGATTCCCTTGCTTCCGGTAAGGCACCTGGGAAGGATAACATCCCCATTGAAGTGCTGTAAAGAGATCATCAGCTGTATGAAATCTTTCTTTGCTGGAGGGAAGGTGGAGTACCACAGGACATGAAGGACAGAAACATCACACTGTACAAGAACAATGGTAACAGGCAACTGCAGTAACTACTGTGGCATCTCCTCAGCGTTGTAGGGAAGCTGCTTTCCCGTATTGTGCTGAAGAGACTCCAGGTGCTTGCAGACAGAGTCTATCCAGAATCAGGAGAGGAAGCTGAACACCTTCCCTATGTGTTGTCTCCGATGCATTCTTGGTATCACTTGGCAGGTCAAAGTTCCAAATTGAGTATTCCTAGAATGAGCTGGAATTTTTTTGCATGTATGCATTACTGAAACAGCAACGTCTACATTGGCTTGGGCATGTCATGAGAACGGCTGATGGTCGGATTCCAAAAGATCCCCCGTATGGAGAATTAGTGCAAGGAAATTGCCCCAGAGGGAGACCACAGCTGTGATACAAGGATATCTGCAAGCAGGATCTGAAGGCGTTAGGAACGGACCTCAACAGATGGGAAACCTTGACATCTGAACGTTCAGCCTGGAGGCAGATGGTGCATCACAGCCTCTCCCAATTTGAAGAAACACTTGTCCAGCAGGCTGAGGCAAAGAGGCCGTCCCGAAACCAGCAAAATCAGGGAGCCGAACACGGGACAGACTGTGTTTGTCTTCAGTGTGGAAGGGATTGTCACTCTTGAATTGGCCTTCTCAGCCACGCTAGACGCTGTTCCAAGACCTCTATTCAGAGCATATTACCATAGTTTTTCATGACTGAAGGATGCCTACACACAATGAACCTGACATAACTGGTCTTGAGTTCTGTGGTGCTCCATAAATTATTAGACATGTCCAGCTAGAAAGGATGGAAAGATAACACATGCTTACCTTTGACCTGATATTTCTTAGTTGCCGGCCAACACTGGTCCTGTCTTTCTTCAAGAAATCAGGATTACTTTTGGACTTCATTATATCTACATGGAGGAGAAAAGGTATTCATTTGCTTAAGTTTATTGCTGGAATTGCCACAAGCACAATACCTGTTCTTACACCAGAGATAAAAGTAAGACAATCAAAAGGCTCTCTCAGATAGGCCCAAACTACTTTCAGGCAACAATAACTTAGAATATTTACAGTCTCTGAAACAATCTTGTTGCAACTGATATGCTTTATTTCCTGAACCAGAAAAGTACAGGTAAATTATACATCAAATGAAGGAAGCCTTGTATCTATTGCACTTCATCTGAAGTACAATGCTTGTGCTGGAATCTTTTTTAAAAGACACCCCACTGATCTGCCTGAGTTGGATCTACTTTGATTTTGCATGCTTAACTGTGCCCAAGAAATAAACCAAGCAAGACTGACCATATCCAGATACTGTCGTGTTGTCTGGCGATTTTTCACCAAGAGCTTCAGTGGCTGCCTTGAGCTGCTCTTTCAGCCTGCTAATGTCGCAGTCTGCCTTGGCTTTCACAATGCTGAGTTCTGTGTAGATATCTTTATATTTATCACTGGCATATTTCTTGTCCTTGGAAAAAAGACAATGGCAGGTTCAGTTGAAAAGATCTATATAGCCAAATGGGCTGGGGTATCAGTAGAGTTACATGCTACAGACCACCCATGGACAAACCAATCTCAGTTCAGCAAAATATGAAGTCACTTCTGGTGGCACTAATGACAGTCAGCAGTTAGCACTATATGTATTCTGTACTTTTGAGCTCCTGGATTTCTCTTTACTAAAGTACAGTATTTGGTTTCTTGTAGCCTGTGGAAGTAGGCCCTAACTGTAAAAAGCAGAAGAAAACCTGAACCAATTTAGGAAACAGTTGTGTAGTATTTCTCTAATAGACTACGAATTGGTGTGGCAGGCACCCACTCAAAGCTAAACAGAATTTCTTGAAGAGGAAAACAGCAGTCGATAAGATTCCACACAGCCTGATTTTGCTAGGAATGTGAATTTACATTGGAAGCAATATTGTTACATGTATACAGTACTTGGAAGGGCCAGGATGTGGTAACCCTGCTAATGAAACATTATACTACATGTGTTCCAAGATGGGAAAAGGGGGGGATATAAATGAAATAAAATGGTACTGCACAAGGGCCACATTGAAGAGGAGATAGAATGGCGCTCTGAATGGGCTGTCACCTAGTTTTGTTGCCACTGCCACCGACTCCTGCGCACACATCACTGACTTCGGGGTGGAGAAGCTGCTGTTCTTGGAGTGCCCTATTGGTGACTCCTCAAAATAATTTTTGCTTATTCAAGTCGGCCTTTCCATTAAAAAAGGAGGGCTGGCCCATATGTTGATTCAATGCATTAGTGTCACTTGGCCATCATATTGCCATAGAAAATTAAAAACTGCCAAGAAGAAAAAAGATAAACAAAAATCTTTAAAGACTGCTTATTGTTTTTAAATGAAACAGGCATGTCTGTTCCTGGACTATTACCCTCAATGCTGTTTGCAATTCATCCTTCAAGGAGCTGATCTCCTGCTTCAAGTACTGGATTTCTGATTCCTTGACTCTCAGCAGGACCTGCAAATGGGGAAAAACCAGGCAAATGTCTTTTACGTTAGAGAAACAGACATTGTGAATGATAAGGAAATGTATTTGAGTCTACAGTATAAACTGAGTCAGGAATGTGAGTCCATTTTGCACTAGTGTACCCCTTAACTACGTCAGATTTGCTTCATGTTTAGAAACGAGGCGAAAACCACTTACCTCCAACTCGTAGGCATCTTTGCCTTGGGTGAGAGGTGAGCCAGCAGTCTCTACCCCACCCTCTCCAGTCAGCAGTGTCCGTAACCGTGTAATCTCTGCAGCCAGGCGGTTGTTTAACTCCTGTGCAAATCACACAAGATTGCAGTTGTGAATAAAACTGTTACAGTTGAGTGATCTCCAGTCCTAGCAATGTAAACCTTTGTGTGGGTGGGTGCACTCACAGGAACTGATGTTTTCCAAATTGAACATAATTCCACCAATTAACACTTACGGATTTTTTGGTCATCCTTGCTCCTATCTTGTCTTCCACACAGTTTTAGTCACAGAAATAGAGCCCAACATCTCCACAGACAATAGCTCAGCCAAATACATTTGCGCTTTCATTCAGGACGGCCCCATCTAAAATTCTTAAAAGGCCAGTAGACCTGAGGAGGTTTAGAAACCAACTGGAATTGATCTCAACCACTCATCATAAACTAATGGCCAAAAATATTTAAAAATGAACCGGTTTACTTCTGCTTCATGAAAGCCCATTCCCCTAAAAAGAATTAAACAGAAGAATTTTTATAGGTCTTTAACATGATAACCAATGATATTTCACCTGGTTGTGTGCATTGAGCTCTTGGTTCTCTCTCTGGCACTGACGTAGGGCCTGCCTCTCTGCCTCCAGGGCCTGGGCCAAGTGAGCATTCTCCAAACATTTCTGAGAGTACTGCTCTGAGAGGACTTCAAGTTCACGCTGGACAGACTGTAGCTCCTCCCTAAGATGACACGGAACAACAACAACAACAAAAAATACTTTATGCAAGTCCAGACTGAATGGGCCTGGAGTTCGGGATCATGCTTCATTTATAAAAAGTGTAAAGGGACTCAGAAAAGATAAGCCAGTAAGAATCTGTTGTGTGTGTTCTCTAATGAGTTCCGTCCACTGTAATTATTCTTCCTGAACAATAAATACAAGCAGAGTAGTATTTATTTAGATTTATATGTCACCTCACCAATGCAAGCACCAGTAAGAAGTTTAAAGGTTAAAACCTAAGATCCCACAAAACAAAATAGATTTAACAATATGGCAGTTCACAAGTATAACATTCATACAAAGAAAAGAAAGAACAAAATTGAAATTTAACAGCATTCAAGGAAATCAGTTATTGAAGGCAGCTCTGAATAATTCTGTTTTCATCCGGTTTCCTGAACATAAGGAGGGAAGGAGTGTGGTGTAGCTCAGTTGGTAACTGGGGGCTGCCACTGAAAAGCCTTAATTCTTTGTCACCTTTTTTGTCTCCCTCAGTGTGGTCACTTTTAGCAACATGAATTGAGAGGAACAGATAAAATAGGTAAGAGGTTCCAACAAGTATCAAAGTCTTAAGTTGTTAAAGGCTTTATAAAACATAACTAGCTCTTTGAATCAATCTAGCTGTCTCATTTTGGAGCTGCTCAAAGCAGTTTTTTGTTTGGTGTATCCTATAAACGTGGGATGTGGTGGTGCTGCGGGTTAAACCACAGAAGTCTCTGTGCTGCAAGGTTAGAAGACCAGTCATCGTAAGATCAAACCCACACGATGGAGTGAGCTCCCATCACTTGTCCCAGCTCCTGCTAACCTAGCAGTTCAAAAGTATGTAAAAATACGAGTAGATAAATAGGTACCACCACAGTGGGAAGGTAATGGCGTTCCGTGTCTAGTTGTGTTGGCCACGTGACCACGGAAACTGTCTACCAACAAACGTTGGCTCTATGGCTTGGAGATGGCGCGCCCTAGAGTTGGACACGACTGGACTAAATGTCAAGGGGAACCTTTACCTTTTTATCCTGTAAATATCCTCTCACTGAAAGGTTCCTGTTTATATGGAAATTTATATGCCTCACTTTCAAAACTACCATATTAAATAATAAAACAGAAAGATTCAAAGATTGTGCCAAATCAAATGTGAGCTTGCTTTCGAAGTAGAAAAGATACCCTCTGTTTTAATCAGTACTTGGACACATTAAGAAGGCATGGACGTTCAAAGGATTTGGGGGAGCCTACTATCGCATTTCACTTGTATCCTGCCTTTCTTTTGGATACTCTTATAAAACTTCAACTCTGGAAGAAGCTGTTTTATGCTCAAAAGCATTGTTTCCCCAGTAAAATAAAAGCAGTAATGCAGAATAGCAAGGCATTATGCAACCCAGGTACCAGGAGGTCTTCATTTGCGACGGTTATGAAATACAGTAAGTGGAAAGAAATACGTACAGGTATTGCCTCTGCAGAGCTTCAATGTCCGAGTTGATGCTGCTAATCTGGGAACGCTGGGTTTTTTCCAACTCACGCTCAAGCTCTTCCCGGTGAGCATTTTTCATGGCTTCTATGGCTGTATAGGAAAAAGAAAGGATTACACAAAACATGTAAAAATAAAACATTCTGGTCTTTTGGTCTTGCCCCAAGGACAGTCATCTTCTAACGCCAGTTTTCCTAGGCATGCTTTGGTGTCCCTTTCTTTCTTTCTTTCTTTCTTTCTTTCTTTCTTACTTTCTTTCTTTATTCATTCATTCAATTTTTGCCCCGCCTCTCTAGACAACGTCTCTTTCCCTCTGCTCTACCTGAGATGGTGGCGGCCTCTCTAGACAACGTCTACTCTAGACAACGTCCCTTTCCCTCTGCTCTACCTGAGATGGTGGCAGCAGTTTCTTCGGCAAGCAAGCGATCTTTCTCCTCCCGCAGCTTCTCCAGTTCTCGTTGATGCTGCCTCTGCAAGTCCTCTATCTTCTTTTGATGGGTTTCTTCCATGGCAGCAAAACCTCGTTCACATGTTGCCTAGGAAAAGAGTGGAAGAACAGCTGATACATGGTATATTTCAGCGAACTGACTTGAACATTTACATGTGATCATGTAACTTTGGATGAAAGAACACAGATGGAGGAGAGTAAATAATATTGCTGAGAAATAAACAAGCATAGAAGGATTAGCAGTTTCATAGCTAGCCTGGGATGCGTCAAGAAGGTGGGACCCTATTTTATAATGCCAGCAATAGGGAAACTATCTGAAAGAGACAGCATCATTTCAAACTGCCTTAAATGGGTACCTCTGAAAGAATTAAAGAGTTTAAACTTCCAAAGAACACTTTGGTCATAGGTACTGAAGGCCATGTTGATGAAAATGGAGACAGCTCAACTAGCTTAACATTATTGCACTGCAGCACAGTTGTTGGAAGTATTGTGTTGCACAACACTGAAGCATAAAATCCACAGAGTCAATGGAATAGTCAGCTGCACTCATCTACCCTGTCAGAAGTACAGAAGTAATCTGCACCATTATTGTATTCAGTAGCTTCCTTATCACCCTTAATTGGGCAAAAATTGTATCTTGCTTTGTAATCCCTGTCATTAAGAGCTGGTTCTCATACAGGTTTTTCACCTGAGTGCAAAATGTACAGTGTGTCTGCCAAGTACAAGAGTACATGTAACTCCTCTCAACCCAAGTATCCTTCAAGTATCTGCAGTGTCCTAGCCTAAGGCTTTCCCCTTGCCTCTTAGGATTTTCCTGGTGATTATTTCAGGCAAGAACAGCTGGCTCATCTCACCCCTTCCTCACTGAAGTGCTTCTCTTCCAGATGGATCAAGGATACACTTTGACAGTTATCTGATGGCATACTGCAAGAGTGGCTATGTAGCATACCCATGCCCTCTTGAGAAACAGACATCCTAATAGTAAAATTATGTACAAGCTTCATTTATATGTATTATAATCAAGACCAGGAAATTGGCTTTGTTATAGAATGTCTATTCCTGATAGACAAGGGGCTTTGAAGGAAGTTTTGAGCTTGCATTAATTATCTACTCATGATCTAGTATGTGATACCATTGTAAAATACATCAAAATTCCCCTTCAGTTAAACCTAGGGACATTGCTTTTTGCCTGCTTGCGTCTCCAAAAGGAAAGCCACTGCAGTCCTGCATTCTAGTGATCACCTTACTCATGATCTAGTATGTGATACCATTGTGAAATACATCAAAATTCCCCTTCAGTTAAACCTAGGGACATTGCTTTTTGCCTGCTTGCTGAAAGAGTAGATCAGTCAGTGTAAGTTTTGACTTCACATGATTTAAATACAGATCTCCCTGTGGGCAGTTTTTATAACATCTTGAATATACCTATCCTTGACAAGCCCACTGCTGTTTGACCAGATGTGGGGGTTGCTGTAAAATACATCAAAATTCCCCTTCAGTTAAACCTAGGGACATTGCTTTTTGCCTGCTTGCTGAAAGAGTAGATCAGTCAGTGTAAGTTTTGACTTCACATGATTTAAATACAGATCTCCCTGTGGGCAGTTTTTATAACATCTTGAATATACCTATCCTTGACAAGCCCACTGCTGTTTGACCAGATGTGGGGGTTGCTGTCACATAAATTGTCCAGAGAGGCTGAAATAAACAGTCATAGATTTACTGAGGTAAAATTTAAGGCAGCACAAAATTAGTGAGTGAAAAGAACCATTGCTTTATGAGGGAATTTGTTAGTAGGGATTGGCCAGTGGAAGTAATATTTGCTCCTGACTAAGTTTCTGGGAAGCAGAACTCTGGCACTGACAGGGTATTGTGGCAAGATTTTGAAATGAATACAGTCTCCATAAAATGACCTTTGTGTTTGTTGCCTCATAATAACTCCTTTGTTTTTATATCTGAGGGAAAGTAAAATAGTGTTCAAGAGCAAAAAAATTATCTTGAATTCTGCATACAAACTGAATGTTGATATAAACTTCCAATGAAACAGGACTCAAAGCTGGTGTATTCTTTTCTTAGGAAGGGCATTTTTTGAACATTGTGGACAAAACTGATCTACCTGTTTAAAGAACCTGTCTAGACTTGTGAAAGTCCAGATTACTTTAGGAGACTGTAAAGATTCAAATCTAAAAGGACTCCTTCCTAGCCAAGGAAAGATAATTCATTTGATAGTAACTAAGAGATAGAAGTATATTGAGAATACAGCAGGTACCCCTTCTTTTTAGAACTGCTAATAATCACTACATTGTCTAACAAGGCTCCTACTGCAATGTAGTAAAATTTATCCTGTAAAACCCACTCATCTTATCCAGCTACTATTCAAGTAGAATCTGGTAAAAACATTTGCCTTTATGTATCTTTTTGAAAAGGGAGTTAGGCTGGAAAGAGAGGTGGAATCACAGACAAAGTTACATATGAAGAACAGTTGTAGGAAATCTATCTGGAGGTCTTTAGGTTTTGCAAAGGTTATGTTTATTTATATTGGCATAACATCACTAGGGCTCAAGGAACTCAACTTAAGAGAGTGATGTCAGCACTTGAAGGATGGGCTATTGCTGTCTATACTGCAACATGGTTTTCTGCTTAATTTTTACAGGCCTTTTCCAAGGACTGTAAGCATTTGATTTAAAATGAATCACAGACATACTGTCATGGAGTATAAATCACACACCATAACAGTTATGCACAGAAAAATGTAAAACTAATGCAGCGAGCTTTTGGTTCTATCCACTGACCATTATGTTCTAGAACTGCTTCCCCTAAAACTAAAGGGGGGCATTTGATTTGAATCACAGACATACTGTCATGGAGTATAAATCACAGACCATAACAGTTATGCACAGAAAAATGTAAAACTAATGCAGCGAGCTTTTGGTTCTATCCACTGACCATTATGTTATGTTCCTGCTTCCCCTAAAACTAAAGGGGGGAAAAAGGTGGGGAGGGGAGAGAAACAAGGCTTGATCGAACAGGAGGGGGGTTTGCACATGACTTAGTAAGATTAAATGCACTGAAAATAAACCTTAAGATTCTCAAAATCTTTCTGGTATTTCTCCCTCAGGGTAGATGCATTCCCTTCAAGGTGCTTATGCTCCAGTTCATCTCTCATGATGTTCATTTGGGCTTCTAGTTCTTGAATGCGTTCTTTCAACCCGTGCATGGCATTAAGCTCGCTGTCTGAGACTTGCATTCCACCATCAACCTCGTCTGCAATCCACAATTCTTCTGCTCTGGATCCTGCTGTGGACAGTGTTTCTGGGTGCTGTTTCTGGTACTCATCCAAAGATTCTTGCAAGCACCGAAGGTCCTGGTTGTAGTGTTCCTGCAAGGTTTGCAGCTCCTCATTATGAAGGATTTGCAGTTCTTTCATCTTGACTTGAAATTCATCTTCTAGAGTTTTCATTTGCTCAAGATGGTACCTTTCCAAGTTCTGCTTATCTTGCACAAGGGCATCTAGTTGGTGGAGTCCCTCTGTTTGCTCAGCTTTCAGCATGTCTTTTGTCCTGTTCAGTTGCTCAACCATATTCTGCATATCATTTTCATATCTGCCTTGAAGATCTGTTAGTTTTTTGCTCTGCTTATGCTCTTCCTCTTCCAGGAGCTTCCGTTGATTGTCAAGCTTCTCTACTTTGGCTTTGAGGTCTGCATTTTCTCTTTCAAGCAAAGCAATCATCTCAGCATATTCATTCTGCTGTTTTCGGAGCAATTCTTCATATTCCTCTCTTAGGGCAGTCACTGCCCTTATGCGCTCTTGACACAGAGCATCCACATTCTGAAGAGACTCCTTGTACAGTGTTGCTTCCTTAGCATACTCCAATCTTGCTCTGTAGGCTGCATAACAAACCTGGGCTTGGATAACTGCATCTTGAACTA